AGTCGCACTCACCTAGTCCATTAGGAATATTACACACATGATTTACTTCAACATTTTTCTCATATACATGGCTAGACTCGGCTACATTTATCTTTACAACATGGCTGAACATTTATGATAGTCATGATTTCTATTGCAACATTTGCTACTACATCTTATTGGCTCTTAACAATGGATAAAAGGCCTATCTTGCTACATTTATATGGCTCCCATTAAAGGACAGTAAGTTGACTTTATTACATCTATGTAGCTTCCAACGATGGACAAAGAACCAAACATCTATTTTACATATCTTTAGCACTAGTTCCCATCAATGGACAATAGGGTAATTCTATTACATCTACATAGCTCCGAATGATGGATAAAAGGTCAAATTCACTATTTTATTTAGCCTCTAGGAATGGGCAAAAGACTACATATCTCTACACATTTTTACTACATCGACTCCTAGAAACAGATAAAGGGTTGGATCTCTCTACATACTTTATTTTACAGGCCCCAAAATGGACAAAGGGTTAGTGTAACTCGGTATGATTAGAGTAAGGTCGATAATAGTTGCAACACTGCAATTTGTTAGGATAACTATCATCTAGCAATAAAAACCCATCAAGTTGTTGCCAATGGCTTGTTGGTGGTCGATCATGCATGGTAGTGCGGTGCCCAATGAGTAAAAACAACCAAGACCATTCTTTGATGGTGTGGGTGTGTTCAAGAAGGATCATCGTTCTATCATGATATCATACCTTATTCATATTCACGGCCATAGATGTGGTTGGCATCCCCCTTTCATGGATAACACTTCACCCATTATATTCATTGCTATGTTAGAGTTTTAGATTAACAAGATTTACCTCATTTGCGGCTTGGTAGATTACGGGGAATGCTTTTCTTTTATTCCACATAGTTCATGCTTCAAACATGGGCAAAGCTAGCCACCATTACATGGGAAAGCTATTCTTGGTTGACCTTATGATCTATATACAACCTGGCTAGCACATTATTATTCCTTATATACAAAGAGGTAAAATTACCGGTCACTGATAATCCAGATATACAACATATTTCTACTATACTTTTGTGTGTTAGCAGCTATCATTGACTAACAGCATTTGGCTCGATAAAACAATTCTACAGCACACATCTATACTATTCATTCTTTAGCTTAGCACATTGGCAAACATATATGGCAATATTATACATGTGCTTCCCATGACGAATGAAAAAAGAGGCATAACGATGTTTGTTCTTATCATCCCCTTTGATACACAAGGGTGTGTATTTTTCTTTGCTATAGATGCTTACATATTTCACACTTATATATCTAAATAAATACTTATTCATATTTTGCTCTTTGGTGCAAATGAACACAATCCCATAAACCCAAGGTGTATTTTTCTTTGCTATAGATGTTGACATATTTCACACTTATACATTTGAACACATATTTATTCATATTTTGCTCTTTGGTGCAAATGAACACAATCCTATAAACCTAAGCTCATGGGGATTATTCGGGATAAATTATGGGAATAGTGTCTTGGCAGGCATGGATAGATGAACATTGCTCACCTAGTGAACTATAGTATTCACACTAGCTAAGCTTGGGGTCAACAATGCTACTCATCTTTGTTAGGAAAGGATAGGTGGCATACACGTGGAGGCAAAACTTGATCCTAAAATTATATTGTTTAATGCTAACTAGAAAATTTGTAATCTCATTAAAAAAACCAACTAGAGGTGTCATTTGTCTCTCCATCACTAGCTTGTAGTTGTATTTATTGCATAAATGGCTACACAAGTTTCATTGCATGAGAAATTGGCAAAAGAAATTACATTTGGCTTGGGAAGTTTACCAAAATGTCAAACAAAGGAAGGTTTGCCATCAATAGTTAATTACACACCAAATATGGCATTACGTATAAATATGAAGTTACCTAGAATGGGAAGACTCTAGCAAACCAACAGTCTTTCACTAGGAATGTTGGAGAATTTATAATCACACATCAAAAGCTATCACAAGTGTCGAGATCATCTCAAAACTTGATACCTATCCTCACACAACTCAAATCTAACCATTGGATTGCTAGGCTACTTTAGCCCATAAACCCAAAATTACCAAAATGCCACTACCTATATATATATTTGATTTTTCCTTCATTTTTGGCAAAAAAAAGAAAAGAGGAACAATACATTTATTCTTCCTTGTTTCATGCAAGTTTGAAGAAGATTGTTGAATTTTGAAGCCTAATATGAAGGTTGCCTATTTTAGAATTGAAGTATTTGTCAAAGATAACAGATGACATATTTATTGTATTTATTATTATTCCACAATACATTTTATATAAATGTGGCTCTTAAGCTATAAAAGTTGATCTTTATATTTTCTATCCTTGCTACTCCTGTTATAATATACATCACTTGCTCATTTTCTTTGGTAGTTGTGTAATTGTGATCATCAAACTCTGCCATCATTGTTCCACTTTTCTGGCTTGGCTAGAAAGGTTATATTTTTAGACTTTGCTAGAGAACCTTGCATAGTTCATCCTCACCAGATAAAGGAAGACAACCCCTGATAACATGAAACAGGTGCATGCCGAAAAGATCCTTCTCATTTCTTGTAGGGGGGATCCTAGTTAGCCAACACGTAATCTTCGTTATTGACTCATTGACACTCTACCCACAGCACACATATGCTATAAATTTAGAAGAAGGGCGTTTATTATTATTATTATTATTATTATTTTAGAGAGGCATTATATTCATGTGAAATTATTACAACAAACAAAAATGTTTAGTTTGCATTTTTCACCTATCTTGATTATAAAATAGAACATATGTTCTTGATTACAATTGGAAGTTCGAGTACTTTAAAAAGAAAAGACCAACATTGGTTATCAAGACCATTTAAAGCCATGCAACAATCTTTTCCCCAATTTGCTAAGTTGTTATGATGTCAATTATGTCCTTTATATCTTTGAGGCATAATGAGGCAAACATGATAAACCACAGATATTTAAAAATGGTATCATCATTCACCTCAAGTGAAGTCTTTCTTGTTTCTTAAGCAAGTCTAAATTGAAGAATAGACACTACAATGCATGCAACAAGGAGCCACAAACCAAGTGTTTGAGGATACAAACTCCATGATATATTTTTTTGTATTTTGAAATACTCTTGATAGTTAGAATGAAAGTTGGATGGAATTTTATAGTGTTTTTAATGAAGAATTTTGTGTGTGTAAAGATTTTTGGTTTATTGGAACAAAATCCTAAGAAAATGGCAACAAAAACCCTTGGACATAAGAAAAAATATCAAAAAAAATATCAAAAATCTATTTTCATGACATCAAAATTCCTTGGCCATACTAAAAATAGGCAACCAACTTCAATTCATCTAATTTTGTCCAAGTCAATTATAGTCGTAAGTTAACTTCATTTATTTTTCAAATTTTGACATTAAAAAGTAAGTTGGAAAATGGTAAATGAACCAAACTTTTCATTAACAATTTTCATTGGTTCAATCTTTATAAAGACAATAGAGATTTTATGCATGCATTGTGACTGGGAAGTTAACCCAAATTGCCACAAATATAAACCAACAATATCTGTAGAATTAACTCAATTTTATTTGTCTCATAAATAACAAGTTTGGAATTGGGACACTGTGGTTTTTCTTTTTTCCTTTTCATTTTCCTGTTTTTGTGAAGAGTCGGTATAAAGAAGGTTAAATCCCCAGTTCAGTCCCTCAACTTTCATTTTTGAACTAAATTTACCCTTGAACTTCAAAAAATACTAAAAAAATCCTTGAACTTCAATTTTTGGGACCAATTTGTCCTTCTGTCAGTTAAGTGCTGACATGACAAAATTCTCCGTTAACAAATTTAATTTTTATTAATATTGAATATTACCTGGAAATAAAATAATTGAAGTGGCATTTTTAATTATAAAAATATTATGACTTGGCACCAAAAATATAATTTAATAAATAAAAATTTCCTTTCTTTCTTTTTTTTTTTCTTTTCTTTCCTTTTTTTTTCTCCTTCTCTTTCCTTTTCTCCCTCCCCTCCCTACTGGGTTCGAAGGAACCCAGCACCAATGCTTGGGTTCCTCAAACCTAGGCCCTGGGTTTGATGGAACCCAAGCGTAGGTTCCTCGAACCTAGGGCCTAGGTTCGAGGAGCCCAGGCGTGCTGGGTTCGAGGAACCCAGGCGCAAGTTCCTCAAACCCAGGCCTAGGTTCAACCTAGCATGCCTGGGTTTGAGTCGAACCTGCTAGGGTTTTTTCTTCTGTTTCTTTGTTGGTTGCAGTCATGCATAGCTATCTTGGTATGGGATTTAGAGTTTTGTGTGGCTTTTGCTTGCTTGAATTTCAAGATCTAGTTACTGTTAGTGTTGATTGAAGGGATGTTGTGTTTTTTACATTTTCCTTTACAGATCTAGTATATATTTGCAGAGTAATTGATTTTTTGAATCAAATCTATTGGTCATTATTATTGTGTGGGGAACTAGATTTGGGTTCTATTAGAGAGGAGGTTCGGGGAAGAAGGAGATGGTGATCGGAGCAATGAGGGATGATCAGTGCTGATTGGGTTGCAAGTTAAGTTATTTTCCATGTAATTAAAGATTTCAAACAAGAATTGATTTCGTGGCAACTTAACGTGCCATTTGGCACTTGTGTCGATGGACGAACGAAATTGGTCTCGAAAATTGAAGTTTAAGGATTTTTTTAGTACTTTTTAAAGTTTAAGGGTAAATTTAGTTTTCAAAAATGAAAGTTGAGAGACTGAACCGGAGATTTAACCTATAAAAAAAAGAAAATAAAATGTCTTGAATAAAAATAATAAGAAGAAATTATGTTTTCATTAGTCATTTTCACCATCCATCCAAACACCCGTTTAAATCTTATTGAACGACAATGTTTTGATAAACACGGCCCACATTTACCATTTGGGACATGGGAGAAAGCAGCTAGTGTCCATTTCCTCCGGGGAATTGCCCGCCAGTGAGGGTGTTGACGCCGCCTCTAGACCTTCGCCATGCTTCCTCTTCCTCACCACATTACATCCATCTCCGACGATGAGAATATCACCGGCGGCCTCGTCAAATCCCGCAAAAACTGCATCAAATCACTTAACGAACGGCATCACTCCACTTATCAACCAAAACAACGCCAAATATCATCCCACAGTAAAAAGAAGAATGCGATTCTCATCGGCGTGTTCATAATAATCCTGAACAATCGCCAATTCTTACTCGTGATCCTCCCCCAATTCGGCTTTGTTGTTTTTGGCCCGTGGAATGTTTTGCCGCCGCCGGAAACCTACACGACAAGGATACGGTTCGAAGAACGATCTAAAGAACATAAAGTTTTGATTTTTACTATCTTTCTCAGTTGCCAAGTTAGTGAATTGATCGGAATTTATTTTGGTTGTGCTCTGTTTGGTTTTGAGTAAATTTAATAACTAAAAGAGACGGAATTTGGGTTTTAGGATCCTTGAAGGTTTAAATTGTGACTGATTCAAGTAGTTAGGTTAGTCTTGTATTTGGGTTTCAGGTTGCCTGAAGCTTTTGTCCCCAGAGGAACTTGAGAATTTAGAGATACCTTCTAAAGAAGCATTAAGCTTTCCTGTTAATAGAGTTGTGTACAGATCAGAAGGTGATGGATCTTATGATGCTAACATAACTTTGGCGCAGGAGCAATTATAACATGGGAGGTTTAATTTATTCACAGGATACCAAACCCTTGTTCAAAGGTGCCAAAGTTATAAGGTTAATTCTGATTCTCATGAACTAATGCTGGTCTGTTGCATGCATTTTTGTTTATTTAAGAGCTTGTAGTACTGGCTCAGAAGTTCTTTTTATTTTTCAATCTTTTATGAGCTTAGTTTTGCTTCTGATTAAAGCTAGTTGCTTGTCAGATTTATTGTACTAGTTATTATGCAAAAGTAATGTTGCAGGTGAATGAAACTGCTGCATTGCATTGTGGTTTCTGCAGTGAAAATGGAAGGTTTAAGATATATAATGAGGACAGGAGCTATATGCAAAGTTGTGAGGTTGTTGTCTCGGCTCGTGCATTTGGTGGGGGAGATGATCTTCATCAACCTATAGGAATGTCAAATGCATCACGTAGAAAGGTTGTTACCCTGAATGAAAACTTCTATGGCACAACATGATTCTTAGGGTTTTTATTGTTTGAAATCTGTTGCTTTGTTTATTTGTTTCTTCTATGCTTTCAGGTTTGCTATGTGGCATTTTGGGATGAGATTACTCTCAAAACTCAGGAGGCAGAGGGACAGAGAATGGACAGCAACCACATGATCGGTAAATGGCGGATCATTGTTGTTAAAGAGCTTCCTTTTGCTGACCAACGCTTGAATGGTAAAATACCAAAGGTATGGTTCAAAGCAGGCTGCTTGCTTTCGAAAGTTAATTTCCATCTGAATTTAGTTATTTTCTTGTTTATTCATGTTTTCCACTTGAGTCTTGAACTTCATCTTTCTGGCTGAACAATTGAGAATTATTTATTTGACATCTAAGCTCTTTTGAGAAATTTAACGTGCAATGTTACCAGTTCCCTAACTATACTGCAGTCAGTTGGTTTCCTAGTTCCATAGCTTTTACTCTTATCGTTAACTCTTCTTCTCATTGGTTCTTTACTATGAACCAAGCAAAGTGAGATCTTATCTAATTGTCTGGTTATCCTTGACTCTTCTATCAGATGTCAGCACATCGATTGTTTCCACAAGCTTGATATTCAATTTGGGTCTACTCCAAATCTCAGTTTCAGAGAGATCCATTAGGAATTCTGGAAGCACTTCTTTTGCGTACAAATTCTGTGTTAGCAGTTTCAGAACATGGAGCACGTAGTAGCATCTATGATGAAGGCAAGGCTGTAGTTGAGAAGAACAAAGCTACCCCAGAAGAAGTTGAGTTCAGCTCTCCCAGCATCGTCAAGATCGTTTTCCCAATAACAAGAGGCTTAATGGGAAAAAGGGTATGCTTCTTAGTCTTGTCCTAGTCTTCCTCATTATCTTGCTCCAACAACTCAAAGCATTTTGAAATAAAGTCTTGATTATGTTATCCCCCTTGTTTGGGTCACAACTTTTAATCCGTTTTGCTTCCTTCCTCTTTATAGATCTCCATTAAGGATTTTTCAGTAAAGAATGTTGCAGTTGATGTTGGAAAGTGGTTCCTAGTTTCTAGTCATTATCTCTATAATTTAGGAAGTTTTAAGTTGTTTACTTATTTTTCCTATTATTTAGGTTGTTATCGTAGATTAGATTAAGTTGATATCATTTAAATAAGTTGGGATTATTGGTTAGTTATTTTTTTTTAGATAAAGTTATCTTGTAAAGTCTATTTAAAAGCTAGTTTAATTCAGTGTTGTCAATAGTGGTCATAGATGACGCTATAGCGGCATAGCGTAGCGGGTGAACAATAGCGGCCGCTATGACCGCTAATAACGGCCGTTATACAAATAGCGGGTATAGTGGCCGCTATTTAAATTTCTTGACTTTTTTTGTTAAATTACCATGTTAACCCCACATCCAAAGTTTAAGTTAAAAGCTTTCAAGGTTAATTTTGTCTTTCCAACTTTTCTATTTATAAATTAAAGAAAAAAAAACCCTAAAACAACTCATCACATATGTTCTCCACCCTTCCTGCACACTCTTCTCAACTCTCCTCTATTGGTCTACCCTCGTGAGTCTCGGTGCCGATATTCTTTCCCACTTTGCGCACCATCTAGTCTCCTCTTAGTCCCCATCGGCCATAGCAAGAGTTGAAGAGTGCAAGGCAACTCAGTCTCACAGTTCAAATTTTTTGGCTTTGGTTCTGCTTCTGCAAGTGCCGTCTCCCTCTTTTTTCTTTTTTTCTTTTTTTTTTTTTGACACCAGAGCAAAAAGTTGGAATTAGAAATAGAAAGTTAGACACAAAAGCATGTGACAATTATTTTTTTCTTTGCTTGGTTCTGCTTCTGCAATTGCACCTCT